ACTACTAGTAAGGCACTTGTTACTAGAAGCGATGCACTTGTTACTACAGCTTCTTGTTACTACTAGTAAGGCACTTGTTACTAGAAGCGATGCACTTGTTACTACTAGCTTCTTGTTACTTATATTGAAAAGCCAGCCTTTGCGCGGGTGGCCAACCCTTAAGGCCGAGCCCTTCCGACTTGGATCTCCAGGCCGATCTGGAGGAGCTGCGAGAACGGCCATGGTCCTGGTTAAGACTCAAGACTCAGCAATATTGAGGAAGCCCATGGAAGCACCTCAATGCTGCTGAACTGTAGACGTAAGGTCTAGGCAGATCGGAAGGAGCCAGAGTCGTGACTTCGATAGGAGCGAGAATGACCGTAGCCCTGCATGACATAGGAACTAGCAACTTGATGTATATTCAAGGTCAGTGCAACCAAAGCTTGACATCAGCTCCAGGCAGATCCGGAGCCAGACTGATGCCAGCTGCCCTGAGTCTGGACAATATCTGTCAACAGCTCTTTGCATTTAGTGGCCAAGTTCAGTTCGCGAGAGAATAATCCAATCAAATTAAGTTCTAGGCAGATCCGTCCGAGCCAGCATGTCCGTAGCCCTGGTGCATGAAATAAAGATTGAACTCATTTTATTGCTGCCCAGCACAAGGCAGCGCTGAACAGAATATGAAACAGCTCAACCAACAAAAGGACATCATGGGAATTCACGTGGGACAATCACAAGATATAAAGTTCCCTCGGTGACAATGCCTTAGAAATATGCAAACTATTTGTCCCCCAACTGCAGCAAGACATCACTGTTACATTCGTAGAAGTTCCTTGGGTTTATGAAGCGTTCATTCCAATGAATCACTCTGAAAACCACTAACACAGAAGTTTGAACTACCACCACCACCCGTGGTTTAAGCTAGCAAATACATTGTACTTGCTCTGTCATGTTACTCCTCAACATTCCTCAACCAATAGTCCGAGCAAAATGGTCTTCCACGTTGTTTTATGAGTGATGCATCAAACCAGTTTAATTGCAATGGCGCGAGTCAATTCCAACACAGTATCCCTAGAATGTTCTCTCTCTGTCAGGCTCGTCCTTCGAAGACAATGGCAACATTGCATTCCGATGCATGTAATGTTCATCTCTCAAAAGCAGTTCCCTGTCACGTCCACAATTCGTGCTCTGGCTATCACACCTCTTCATGCAAACTGGCCACGGAAGTGTGGCTTCTCCGACTTGGTGTTCTTGCATCATCCTTGAAACTTTTCTCGA